ACTACTACTAATGCTACTACTACTACTACTACTACTACTACTACTACTACGACTAAGACTACGACTACGACTACGACTACGACTACTGCTACTACTACTACTACTACTACTACTACTGCGACTGCTACGACTACTATAATCCGTCACACCACTGCCTCGACTGCTACGACTTCGTTTTCTACTCCTGTTACTGCAACTGTTGTAAAAAGAAGTGGCCTATGATTGCAAAGGCAGGGATGGTACTGCTGGTGATGTATGTCTTTAAACACGTTCAGAGCGACATGTACGAGTAGCGCAGATTGGAATGGGGGCCTCCAGCTTCGGACCTTGGGCAATGCACTGCCCAAAATGTCTGAGCCTCGAACATAGGAAAGATGCTTCCGAGAGGTCTTTTTCTGCTCATGCCAGGCGAGAATGTCGCAATGCCTCTGGCATGCGGAAAGCCCAGCAAAGCCTTCGAAAGCTTTCAAAAACTAACCCTCATGATGCTGCCCGAACCTTCATGTTAATCTGAGAAGCTACTATCCAGACTCGAAGGTCATAAATACGGCATAGCAATGTGAACTTGCTCAGTAGTGAGAAATATTTCCACCGGCTCGCTGCAGCTGTTATCCTGGTGTGACTAAGGTGACTAAGGAGTTTCCATCACTGATGTGAGCTATGTTGTTGCTGCGAGCAAAGTCTGTGCTCTTGTTCTGATTGTCGTCACCACCGGAGCGGGAAGTACTCTGCGCGATTTGTGCTTTCGAGTTCCACTCAGTATCTCAATGAGCTCATTATGCACAACCGTGAACTCCATGCCGATACTCTGGCTCCGGTGGCTCACACGGCTCTCGGTGTGCCCGGCTTGGGCGCAACAGACGGCCTGGCGAAGGGATTCTACCTTCCCAAGCTCAGGTATGTAATGTGCCTTATACGAGGACATGACAATCGACGAAGAAGAACAAGCCGCTTAAAAATTGATTTGGATGGTGGAACACATTCTGCGAGGGACCCGGCAAGGCCTTGCAAGTAGCCTCGAGGCGTCATCGACTCTGCAACCGACACCCACAGACACCTCTTAGGACCAGGGCCGGGAGCTGTGGGAGCTCGCGGCCCTGGTCAGATCCTTTATAAAGTCAGGACTTCCTAACTATGCCTAAGCCACGTGGTGCGGACTCCCTGCCCATGGCCACAATCCTCCACGCCTTAAATTCGCAGACCTCAAGACTTTACGCCGAACCCCATCAGTTGACAAATCTTTTTCGGATTTTCCGCCTGCTTGCCCTTGGCGCGCGGCTGTTCAAACGACTGCGCGGGGCGGAGGCCTGCCAGTTACATCGCTTACGGTTTGCTTAAGGCTTTCGGACTTTAGGGCGTACTGTAGGCCTGTGGGATAAAACGCTTCACACATGGGACTCCCCTTAACAAGGACCTAGTTCTGTAAGATGCGGATCAGCATGGAATGTGCCAGGACATCGACGGGAGCAATGACCTTCATGATCGCAATGAATGAGCAGAAAACTTGACTAGTCACCAACAAGCCCTTAACCCCACACAGTTCCGAAATCCTACAACCGTCGAACCAGCAGACCGGGAGACTCTCCAAGGGGCGTAGGCCTAAAGACGAATCTTGGCGCAAGGGCTTGCTTTGACGTGACGAAGTGAATGCTTCATGGTGTAAGTGCTGAATGAAAATATTCAAGCTTTTTGCACCTTTTGAGCTGAGTATGTGATAAATACATCCTTGCATACCCATCAGACTCTATCAAGGGGCCAACGAGTGAAGCTGAGGTTCGGGCCATCAGTCTCTGTCGCTCCTTCTGAAGCATGGCTTGCTCCTCCTGAAGGTGCAGGCTTGCCATGAGCTATAGTGATTTGCAGAAAGTTGGAACATGGATTTAGGATGATTAGTGCTAGGATCCCTTATACTTTACCTTAAGGGCACGAGGATAATGATGTTCCAACTTTCTGGCTTCTGCTTTATGAGAAATCGAAGTGGGAGATACCCTGCACCAAGAGTTGCAAGGAGATCTGCGAGACAAAAATCGCCACTCCCCGGTCCCGAAGAAATCCTAAACCCATGTGGCCTCTAGCTTTGCAAGCGCTTCCTCCAGCTCGGAGAGGTCAGCGACCTGCAATGGCAGTCGAAAGTCAAAGCGTATGGGGCCTAGGGCGACCTTAGATCAAAACCGAGACCGTGACAAGTTGGGCGCATAGTGCATAAAGAATCTCGTTGGAGACGTCAAGGCTTCTTCAGGCATTGCAGCTTCCGTGCGTCAACTTCCGCTGCAAGGGATGCAGCATTAGGCAGGACGCACCAGTGTTAGCCCTTGCTTTGCAAATTCGAGCGGCCATGTACCAATAATCGTGGTCTGGTTATTGCTTGGCATTGCCCTACGTCTTTCACTTGAAAACTCATGCGAACAGCGCTCGTGACAGCCGCTTGAATGACAGAAAAACATGCATTGTTTCCCGTGTTCGACGAACTTCTGTCAAACCGGTGCCAGCTGCTGACGTCAAGGCAAGCGTGGCTAGGGCCGGGATTTGGGGGCCACAGCCCGAGAGGCTAGCTATTCCTAAGCAGACCTCTCAAACAGAATATGGACAGTGGACAGCTCTGACTAATTCGATGACAACACTACCTTTGATACCGTGCTTGCCAAGAAGGCGGCAAAAAATAGAATAGGCTGCCTCGACCATCGTGAGCTTGTGCGCGTACTCCAGCTTCTGCTCCTGAGTGCTTCAAACATCCGCTGCTTTCACAACTGTCTGAGCTGGAGCTGCGCTGGTCGGCATCTGGCGAAATTGCCTCTGGCGTTCGGGATCCCAATCGACTGAGCAGGCTGCCAAAAGCGCCAACAAGAAGATAAGGTGTGTAATACATAGTAACTAGTACATCGTATATAAATCTTGCACTGCATATATATATATATATACATACATACACATACACATGTTTTACGAGTATTATTATTTAAAAACTGAAATAAAATGTTCATTATATAGCAAATAATATGTGATTTCTCTCTCTCTCTCCCTATATATATACAATGAGATAACTATATAACACGTAATACGTCTGCATCACTATATAACACGTAATACCTGATGTAAAAGATAGACGCACATTGCAAAACCAATACAGCATAATGTAGATAGTATCTAAGTATATACAAGCAAACAAACAAGCAAGCAAACAAACAAACAACGCACACAAACAAACAAACAAACAAACAAACAAACAAAAAAACAAACACGCAAACAAGCACAGAAACACAGAAACACACAAACAAACAAACAAACAAATGTAGTGACGTACGTACATACATACATCCACCCATGCATGCATACATACACACACGTATATACATACAGAAATAGACATACATGCATGCATGCATGCATGCATGCATGCATGCATGCATACATATATATATATATATATACATATGGACATATATACATATATACATTGTGTGTGTGTGAATATATATATATATATGTAATATTTACATACATATATATATACATATATATGTATATACAACTAGTATATACTGCAAATGGCATATACATTTAGATATGCACACACATCTTGCATACACCTAATGTACAAGGAAGCACAGTTAATAATGCATCAGAAACAATACAGAACATTTCAATGTACAATGCAAGATAATCGTATACAAAACCAGACCCACAGCCAGAACACGTGACCTAGGCCCTATCCACTGACACTGTGTTCCCCATGAGTGTAGTCCTCCTCCTGCACCTGCTTGAGTGCGGCCATGTCTTGGTCATACTCCTCCCTGGCCACAACACTCGCAAAAGAACGAGACGGAACCGAGGTGCAACGAATCCGAAGTACTTCAGGAACGAGCATCGTGAAGTAGAGGTTCATTGGATGGGCCTTCTTGGGGCTTTGGCTGACTCATAACGCAGCACTGGGAACTCTGGCCAATTTGGCATGTCACATGGCTGCCTGCTATGTAAGGTTATCGTTGAGAAGGAATGGTCGCATCGCAAGATCCCCTAGCATCAACCGCCCTATCCCCATGTCGTGCCTTACAGAATGTCACAAGCTGCAATCCTACATCAATAATCATAATCTGCTCTCCCCACGCTGGCCATCGAAGACCAGCGCGTTTTGACACATTGCGCGCATAACTTGTATAATAGTATAAGCTGCCACAAGAGGCGGGATCAAGAAGCAACCTCATGCCCCAGCAGGAACTGAAGCACAGCCCCAAGGATCACTCGGTAGTGCCGGTCCTCAGCTTTCCCAACAGGTGCCGGAGACCATCCTGGTGTCCATAGGGCCCCACAAAGTTCAACATGCGAAAAAAATACATTCCTTTCTTCACAGGGTTTGTTTACATAGTCGCCTGACTGAAGTCATGGCGTTGCGATCTGACCTGCCAAACTGGAAAAGAAGTGCTCCCAGCCATTCCTTAACCGTATGCAACAGCCCAGAAGCCCAATGGCCTTGACATCATACCGAATCTGTATAGTAGTGATTTTTCGTCTCATTACGTTCGTCATGTTGTAGTGGTACTTTGTTGTTTGTTGTTGTGTGTCTTGATTTGCTATTTATTTTTGCTTCTGCATTATTGTCTGTTTGTGTATGGCTGGACAGACTCCGCCCCAGTCCGTCTACGCGGGGTGGCTTTAGCACTCACATTTCGTTCAGAAAAGGAGTATGTAGACTGGGCCAGATTTTGCACGTCCGTTCATGTTTCTGAAAACAAGAAACGGACAGACAATAGCGAACTCAATCTGCTCAAATGGAACCAGACCGAAACATGGCCCGTATTACGAGGACTTGCATGCGGCTTAACAAGCAGCGTCTATGGACTTCATTAGCGGCAGAAGGATAAGTACAGGTCCGGACTTCACGTATTTCAGGGGGCTGAATTCGACAGTTTGGTGTTGGATTTGGTGCCAGAAATATTGCTGGCTTCGCTTCATTCAGGACTCTCTGAAGTATTGCAACATGCAATATGCTGATTCGGGATGTTGTTTTAGGTTGAAAGGAGCCATTTTCGGTACTGGCGGACATGAACTCGTGTCAACTGGGTGCAGACAGGCACACAGAAAATGCAACTGCCTGGGCAACTGCCTGGGACTATATCTTTCTTACAACATATTTGATCGTCGGTATAAGGTGGTAATCTGTTCTGCCACTTGGAATATACCGGCCAAAGAGGTTTCAACTCTCGGACGCAATTAACTCGCATGGATTCCCGGGCCAGCATGGCCAAGTATTGAAGGAACACATCCGTTTCATGAAATCACATCAGCGTTATTCTGGAGAGTCCCGGGAACAGCTTACCGGCAGAAACTTGTTCTCGAGCTCATTTACTATGAGTGGTGCGAGTACAGAAACTATTTCATGGCAGCATCCCGCTACAGTATGGTGTGGCCCTGTTCGTGTGGAGAGCTTCCATGCACTGCTCGACAGTCGTATTTTGCTGTTGTGAAAGGAGATGGGTCGTCCGATAAGTAACCGGTATTACATTCAGGTGGGGTCTTAAGCGCAAGTACATCCAAAGCTAGCTCTTGCATCTCCCAACTAGTAAAAACTTCGAGCTCTTTGACTTTGACCCGGAAGAGTACAGCGACAACAGCCTTGAAGTCCTGCATGAACGCCGCAACATGTATGGATCATTGGCGAAATATGAATACAAAAATACATGTAAGTATAAGCCCAAATAGAAAGGAAACAACTTTATTAATATAAAGTTGTGCTTGTGTTTGCTTGTTATTTGAGTCTTTGCTTGTCTTTACTTGTGTCCCTTTGTCTTGATGTGGCCCTTATATTGATAAGTAAGCTTTTGCGTTCGCTCGTGCTTCATGCAGTCTTATCTGCTTTTGTAGGTGCATGGAGCGAAAACAGACCCGTTGTTCTGGATCACAATCGCCCAGTGATTTCAAACACCATAAGTCCTTGTACTCGAGGAGCTGCTCACGCTGCCTTTGCTGTTCCTTGCTGCAAACAGGCGTGCTTGTGTGCGTGTCTAATTGTCGGTCTGTGTGTGTGTGTGTGTGTATGTGTCGCAGTGTAACTATGTATGAGTGGGTGGATGCATGGATGGATGGATGGATGGATGCAAGGACAGAGGCGTGATTGTGTTACGCACGCATGTACGTGTATGCATGCACATGTACGCGTATGTGTGTATACGTACGGATGTATGTGTGGGTGTGAACGCATGCAGGTGTGTATGCACGCGGCCTGTATGTATGCATGTATGTATGTATGTATGTACGTATGTATATATATATATATGTATATGGATGTATGTGTGCATATGTACGTATGTATGCATGCATGTATGTGCACGTATGCAAAAATTGCATACCTGCATGCATACATGCATGGCTACGCGCCTAACTACCTATCTACCCACTTACTTTTTCAGACGGGCACACAAAGCTTGAACATGAACCCTAAGAATTGTTTGGAGGATGCTTCTGCAAATAGAACAACTTCACGATGAGATCTGTTGCTGCGCGAAGTCAACCGGGAGATCGGCATAAAGTAGATTTGTTTTGCAAAGGGCATACATCTTCTTTTGAGGCTAGAGGATCTTGAGGCCCACCGACTATCATAGCTTAACCCTGCTGAACTACGAAAAGCCAGAAAGCGACGTGGTTCTTTGAATGGACTACCAAGACCCGTAGACCCTAGTCTGCAAATATTCAAACCCTACACTATACAGCCTATATACATACTATCATTACACCAACAAGTCTCCTCTGCATCATGCTAAGGGAAGTTCTGCCGCTACCCTCGTACGCTCCCCGAGAAGCCAGCTGGCCTGGAGGCGCATTTCCTCCGCCTCATGTGCACGCTGCTGGAGGGCCTGGGCAAGTGTTGGCAGGTATATTTCTGATCCAGACATGTGGATGAGCTGCGTTGGTTCAAAGCCTCCGGCAACGCGAGGGATGTTGCTTGGGCTTCAGTGGCTCTGACTGGCTTTGCACGCAAAGTAACTTAAACGCCAAGTGTGCCCCTCGCACTCAAACAGCGAGCCGCAATGCAGCTTCCAGCTTAGCCTGAAGGTTTCAGCAACCAACATACTTCTCATGAAAGTCATACACTGTAAGTATCGAAAGTCAACAGAGCCTGAAGCGTGGCGCGTGTGGTCTGCATCTGGTCCTGCCGCTGACTAGCAGACGACAACCAAGAGCTTGACCCCCACTGGCTGAGCTAGAATGAAGGGGGCCCCAGGACCTAGAAGAGTTTTTCAGCTGGTATGCCGAGTTCAGACTGCCCCGTCTCAGCTCATCAGTCTCCTCCTCAATTCTCTGGCAGCGCGCCGCCTGCCCAAGCGGCGGAAATAGCAGCGAGGAGAGTCGCCAAAATGATGTGGACTCCAAGCTGCGTTGCTGGCATGCCTCGCCTCTTGCAGCTCTGCCCTCGACTTCTCCAACTGCTGACCTCGTGTTCCCAGTTAAAGACTTGGATTTTAGGGTCCGCGGTGCTCAACTTGTTGGACAAGTAAGTGGATTTCTGCTCTCGCAAGACTTACAGCAAACCCTCATTGCAAGGGTCGACTAACGAACCTATCTGAACATGGACCCGTGCAGTGGACGGTCCACAGGAGGTCTCTGCGGCCCTGGCATGTAAAGCAGAAAGCAGCTGTCGTCACTTTCCACATACAGGAAGAGCTAGACGATGAATCCTTAAAACAGTGTTATGATAACCGAGGAGTCTCAAAAATCCACCAGTGCCAAACGCTCACAACAGCCCAATGTCCCAAGGTTGGCGCAGCTGAGAATGTCTTCGTCCTTCCACCTCGAAGGGTCACTGCCAGCGCTACAAATATGCCACGGGACGTGATGACCATCCTAGGCGCAATGGCCGTTGTGCTGACAACTGCATGACACGTCTTGCACGGTAAGAACACACGCACGCAGACCTTTCTATGTACATAGACATGCAAATGTCACAAGTACAGACACGTATACCTATGCATATGTACACATACACCTATCATACACATGTGCACATAAATACATGAGTACATAACGTACATATTTGTGTAAATTTACAAACATATGTGCACAATCTATATACCTATATATGTATATACATACATACACAGATCGGTACATATAGTATGTATCTTGTACACACATCAGAATCCCTGTCTACGACATACATTATAACATCACAGAGACAAACACAAGTGCAAGTACACCTATACACATGCACAAACAAAGAACGATGCATACATACGTACATACAAGCATACTTGCATGCATACTCACATGTAGAGACACACACACACGCGCGTGTACATAAATCTATGTATGCAAGCAGACGAATGTGCTTAGTAGTGCGAACACATAGAGACATATATTCACATACACAAACATACACGCATGCACGCGTACATACTACATAGGTTCATTCATTCATTCATTCATTCATTCATTCATTCATTCATTCATTCATTCGTATATACATACGTACTTACGTACGCCCTTACCTGCATACATACATTACGCACATTCTGAAGCGGATATGTGGACTCTTGATGGAGATGCAGTATCCATGGTGCAAATCAGCATGCCTGCCTCGCTTCCTCCTCAGCTTGAAGCGACGTGAATTGCTGAAGTCGCTCTTGAAACGCCTGTCACTGTCACTCCGAGCACAAAAAGGTCGTCTGCCATGGATTCGGTGAATGCCCTCGCCGCAGTTCCCTCCGCGGGGACCCCGCGTATTGCTTTGCTGCTTCGTTCTTCGGAATTTCATGAGGGTATGGGTGTGTAGATGATGATCCGCGATGGCGACTGCCGTCGTTGATTTGTGTTGGCAGATATATTGGCAAGGCGATGATAGTTGCTAAATGGCGAGGTAATGCGGAATAGTAGTGGTGATAGCCTGAGCATTTGCCATCGGCATCATGCTCGTGCTTGATCTGGTCGCAGTAGCGGGGGGGTGGGTCAGCACAAACAGGAGTAGAGAAGGCAGCACAGCAGCAATAAAAGCTGGTCCGGTGACAAGAAGTCACATCAGCGCCGGTCATTGAAGACAGCATGCCGCAAACATAGGCCCCCTACCCGCCCGCCAAACCGGCGGGGCTTTTTCACACCCCGAAAAAGTCTCCTCATGCTCACTTTCAGCTGAAGGTCTGTTTTTCGCGCCCTGTTTGAATCCTGAGATTTTGAGGGTCTAGAGTCTAGGGCAGAAGGAACAAAAGAATCTTTAAGACGGGCGGCAAGCAACGACTTAACCGGCCATGCAAGTTTTTTGTTCACGCCCTGGGTCTGGGGGTCTGAGGCCGAAGGAAAAACTAATCTTTAAGGAGGCAAAAAACAACCTACATAACCGGCCGCACGAGGTTTTTCTCGCACCATGGGTTTCGGGGTCTCAGGCCGAAGGACAGAGACACAGTAGTAATGGGAGGGAAAGGGAGGGTGACAGAGGGAAAGACAGAGAGAGAGAGAGAGAGACAACAGGAGAGACGGAGGCAGACCAAGAGGGACGGGGGAAAGCAGGGTGAGAGAAAGAAGACAAAGAGGAAGAGAGAATGAGAGACAGAGAAACAGAGCGACAGACAGACAAAGTGACGGAGAGACAGAGCGACAGGGAGAGAGGAAGAAAAGGAAGAGGGCATGGAAGCAGAGAAGATAGCAGGGAAAGGGCAGGTAAAGGAAGCGAGACAAAGGAACGAAGGGCAGCGGAAAGGACTGGAAGGGCAAGAAAGGGAAGGTAAAGAAATGGAGAGTCAGGGGGACCCCAGACAGACAGGCAGAATATCCGGCGCCTAACTATCATGCTTTGCCTCGAGACTTCGTCATGGTTTCAGTATACGTTGCGGGAGGCGGGCAACAGTGTTGCTCCGATCAGTTGGAGTCCGAAGAACCGCCAAGCGCTGGGGCCGCTGGGGCTTCAGGCTGCTGCAGACTGGATTCTTTCGTTCAGGGCTTAGGGTTCAGGGCACAGGGTTTAGGGTAGGGCATAGTTTGCAGTATGAAGTATCAGGCACAAATGTTGGTTTGAAGCAGGAGGAAAGAAGTAGGAAGCACCTTCCTCGTGCAATTATTGCTGCACGTGGCGAAAAAAGTAATTAAGAACCCTGACTGTCCCAAACTGTTGAAACTTCAACCTTAGATCTGAACACGAAAACCGTACAGCTCTTGGTCTCGAAGATATCGTCAAGTCGGTCAGCCTCAACTCCGCTCGCCAGCCAGGGGCGATCCGCACGAAAAGCCTACGAGGTGGCGTCTCAGGTCCAGCATTCACCACGGATGTCCGAACTGAGATCATGAAACATTGCAATGTAGATCCTGTCCTTCCACCGTGCGGGGCTAAGACATAACCGGCAACAAGTATGGCTGATACAGTACCTCTGAAAGACCTCTAACTGCCTAAACTCCAACTGCGCAGATTCCGCACATTCCTGCCATCTGTTTGCGCCTCAATCTCTGCCAAGATGGCCGCGACCATCGATCCGACGGTCCGATCGAAGAAGCCACTACCAGCAAGCCTGCAAGATCCGGAAGGAGCCAGGAAAGAGGGAAGTATGTTCCCGTACGACATCGTTTCTGAAGGAGGGCGAGCCACTGTCTGTAAGCTTCGGACTGCGGAAGAAACAGTTCCGGGGGTGGTTGCCGGACATGGGTCATGTGTTGAGGAAATTGAGCACCTGGAAGATGACTGTTACGATCATGACGGTGGTGGTTTAAGGTGCTGCTGGTGCTGGTGGTGCTGGGTGGTGCTGCAGCGTGTGCCGCTGGTTGCTGGTTCCGGCGGCACTGATGGTCCAGGTGGTGCTCACAGTGCTGGTGAGTTGTGGCAGTGCTGGCGGCAGAACTGCTGTGGCTTCGCCTCCGCGAACATGTAGTTTACACACACACACACACGTTTACAGTCCTCATGCATACCTTCGCTGGTAGCTTCTGAATTGGCCGTCTGCCTGTCAAAACCGCATAAGGGACCGCTCTCCGTCTCAAGACGGACTGCTTCCGTCCTTGATTCTTGTGGATACTTGATATCTGTCGCTTGAAATCAACGACAGCCCATGCAGCAAAGGAACTAAACTTAAACCCAAGTCTCATTCGAGACAGTTTTCAACTCTTTCAGCCAATGTGGCCATGGGCAAGAGCCTTTGGGCTTGCGGTTGAGCATGTCAGGAGGGTGGAGGTTGATAAAAAAAACTTAGGCCGCACAAAGAAAGGTAGACAGATAGATAGATACATAGATGGACTCATTTGACTGGTTGGAACTGACACAGACGACGCATAGAGGCAGACACATAGATAGATCGACAGATAGATAAACGATATGTGTAGTTTAAAGATGGGTAGATAGGCTGATAGATAGGCAGATAGGTAGATAGGTAGGTTAGATTAGAACAGTTTAGAATAGAATAGATTAGATAGATAGATAGATAGATAGATAGTTGGATAGATAGATAGATAGATAGATAGATAGATGGATCGATACATACATAGATAGAGTAGATTAGATTAGATAGACAGGTAGACAGATAGATAGATAAATGGATAGATTAGATTAGATTAGATTAGATTAGATTAGATTAGGTTAGACAAAAAGATAGATAGATAGATTGATTGACATGTAGATAGATAGATGCACAGATAGGTTAGATTAGATTAGGCTAGATCAGATTAGATTAGATTTGCTTAGAACAGATTAAACTAGATAGATAGATTAGATAGATTAGACAGTTTAGATAGATTACATAGGTAGATAGATAGGTAGATAGATAGATCGCTAGTTAGATGGATAGCTAGATAAACAGATAGATAGATAGCTAGACAGACAGATAGACCCATAGATGGATCGATAAATAAATAGATAGGTCAGGTTAAATTAGATTAGATCAGATTAGATTAGATTAGATTAGATTAGATTAGGTTAGGTTAGGTTAGGTTAGGTTAGGTTAGATTAGATTAGATTAGATAGGTACATAGAAAGATAGATAGCTAGATAGACAGACAGATAGATGGATAGATAGACAAGTGGGCAGATAGATAGATAGACAGATCGATAGACAGA